TATTATCGTTTAATCAATCGCGGAAAAACCCGACTATTCAAATGCAGATTTCTTGAACTTCCTGAAAAAAATAGAAATGCTGGTTAGGAGGTCGTCTACATCAATTTACCTGATGTCAAACTTACCGTTCCGGAGTTAGCTTTGTAAAGTCCGCGCATACCTTCAATTTAAATGCGGAACAAGTTATCCCCAGCGGCTGCGGGAAACAAATTCAGCTACATTTACCATTGTGCACTTACTTCTAACATATTTCCTTCACTGCCTATCCTATTTCCCCAATCCCGAAACCCCTATTGCCACCGTGTCCGTATGATTAAATGCTACGAATAGGAGGTATGGGAGGTACACTACTTAAACTAGCTTTAGCGACCACTGTGTCAACATTGGTAGGGTTTAAATCAAGTTGTTGATCCCCATTCTCAAATACAGGCACAAGGAGAGCCCTGTTCTATTCTTTAGGCATAATTTAATTTCTCACTGCTTTGTGCATAGCCTTATCAAATCCAGGGCCTAATGGCCAATAACAGATTAGCAACATGATTGCTGCTCGGGCTTTGAACTATGCAGTCCCATTTCAGCGCATGCAATTTATTTCTGGGATCGGTTCTCGCGCAATGATGCGAAAAAGAATGTCCTGCTCTTGCGGAAGGGCGCACATCTATTTTCAAGAGAACGTTCTGCGACTCTTAATCTGGGAAATTTCTTATTAGTACCAAAAGTATCTTGAGATTATTTCAAAAAAGGAAATGTTTCCCACGTCATTATGAACAACATGCAATGTCTCGTTAACAGTATTGTGCGGCCTGGAAATGCAGAAAATCCCCTAATTCCTTAGCTTGCACGGACATATTAAGGCCCAACTATAAGGGATTGTGTCAACTCAGCCTTCAATAGCTAATATTATAGCCATCGGCTGAGTTGATTGGAAGCAAAATCAGTCATAAATATGCAGAGATATGGACGAAAACTTCTCAGAGAGCGAAGTACATCATCTTGGATTGAATACTTACGGATGAACGTTTGTGAGAACGTCACGTTCTGCCCACAGACGGTCGCAAAGAACT